TGAATCTGCCCTGTTGAATTGTCTGTAATTCTCTACTGTTTTGAAGAGCTTTTAAAATGCTAAGAAGCTTGATTGCAGCTGCTCTGGATGTTGACTACATCTCTCTCCAATTTCAAAATGTTGGACATACCATTTCTTCTAGCTCTGGGGCCTCCAGGTAGGAGATGTGCTTAGCACTTTAACTCAGAATGATCATGCAGCACATGATCTTTATATCTGAGTTACAGCCAAATCTCCCATGTAGAGCACTGCACAGCCTGGAAACATCTCTGTAAATGGCAACAGGAATCAGCCCCTCTCCTGCTTGTGCACACCTAGTAAACCTGATCCCACCGCCGATCCAGGTGGGGAGGGCTGAGTCATTGGCATGGTCTCAAAGTACTTTCTTCCCAAACCCAAGCAGACACACAAACATCCGGCCCCACAAAAGCCATTGAAATGCTTCATAGCTGGAGTTCATGCTGCTGGCACAGCCCAGGAAGTCACGTGTGAAAACCGCACAATTTTTTTCCTGCTGCAGCTGCTGAATCAGGAAAATTTCTCTGTGACACCCCACCAGCAAACAGCAAAAAGCTGTGTAAAGTCTATCACACACATTCAGAGGGCCTAGTTTGATCCTATTCTGTTTCCCTTCCTATCATACTGGAGTTGCAAAGTTTCCATTAGCTCAAGTAAGCTGTTTCAGTGGGTATCCCCATCATGGTCTTGACCTTTTTCCTTGTATTCTCACTCCTCCCTTTCTTCGACTGGACTTTGGGAACTTAGCCCAATGTTCTGTTGTGATTCTCTGCATCTGCTTCCATGAGTTGTTGCATGTAGGTTCTCCAATATCATTTAGGATAGTCATCAATTGGACTACAGGGAAAGGACAGTTCAGGCATCCTCTCCACTATTGCTTAGAGTCTTAACTAGGGTCATCCTTGTGGATTCCTGGGAATTCCTCCAATGCTAGGATTTCTGCTAGCCCCATAATGTCTCCTTCAATCAAGATATCTCTTTCCTTGCTCTTCATCTCTGTCCTTTCCCCATCTCGAACACCTCATTTCCTCAAGTTCTACTGCCCTTCTCCATCTTTCCTCCTCCTCCCCTTCTGCTTTCTCTTCTCCCTCTCACCCTTAGACTCCCAATTTTCTCAGGAAATCTTGTCTATTTCCTCTCCCAGGGAGGATCTATATATGTTTCTCTTAGACTTCTCCTTGTTACTTAGCTTCTCTGTGGTCTTGAACTATAGCTTCTTTTCCTTTGCTTTACAGCTAGTATTCACCTATGAGTGTGTACATACTGAAAAGTTTCTGCTTCCTGATAAGCCCTTCCACTGATGCAATAATCTGAATCAGACCAAATCAAACCAAACTAAAAAAAAAGCCCAGGTTTAATGGATTCTAATGCTCATGGAGGGCTTTCCAGCCCCCCCCCCCCCAGAGAGGAGCTGGTGATGAAGACTTGAAAACCCAATGTTTGTTCTCTGAATTGCTGTTTAAATACCCTGTGGGAATGGACTTGAGCATCTCTAAAGAGGGGTCATCTTTGGCAGGCTTTCTCAGGTGTAAAGTCTGAACTGAGGCAACTCCAAGGGGAGGGGTCTTGGGATGGAACTTCCCCTCGAATATTCCAGACTCTTTAGATATATAGATGTCAGAGGCTGGAGTAAAGCCTTAACCCAAACATTCAAGACTCTTTGGTTATATGGATGTCAGAGGCTGGGGTGAGGCCTTAACTCTAACACTTTTCATGCTCATCTTTCTGGATCTGGGTTACCTCACTCACAAAGGTTTCTTCTATTTCCATCTATTTGCATGCAAATTTCAAGATGTCATTTTTTTTTACCACTGAGTAGTTCTCCACTGAATAACTGTACCACACTTTCTTTATTAATTCTTCAGTTGAGGGGCATCTAGGTTGTTTCCAGGTTCTGACTATTGCAAATAATGCTGCTGTAGACATGGTTGAACAAATGTCCTTGTAGTGTGATTGAGCATCCTTTCGGTATATGCCCAAAAATGGTATTGCAGGATCTTGCAGTAGGTTGTTTCCCAATTTTCTGATAAACTGCTATACTAATTTCTACAGTGCTTGTTCAAATTTGCAATCCCACTAGAAAAAGTGGAGTGCTCCCCTTACTCCACATTTTCTCCAGCATAATCTATTATTGGTGGTTTTTTTTAATCTTAGTCATTTTGACAGATGTAATATGGAATCTCAGAGTCACTTTAATTTGCATTTCCCTGATGGTTAAGAATGTCTTTCAGCCATTTGAAACACTCCTGTTAAGAATTCTTTGTTTAGAATTGTGTCCCATTTTTTTTTGTAACAGGAAAATACATTTTTTTTACTTTTTCTTTTTTTATTACTTTATAAATAATACCAATCAAAAATTCCACTTCCTCCTCTTCCTCTCCCTCACACACCCATCACCCCACTCCCTCCAGTCCTAAGAGAGGGCAAGGTACCCTGCCCTGTAGGAAGTTCAAGGCCCTCCCTCCTACATCCAGGCTTAGGAAGGTATGCATCCAAATAGAATAGGATCCCAAAAAGCCAGTACATGCAGTAGAGACAAATCCTAGTACCATTATCATTGGCTTCTCAGTCTGCCCCAATTGCCATCCCCATTCAAAGAGTCCAGTTAATCCCATGCTCATTCATTCCCAGTTCAGCTGGAGTTGGTAAGCTCCCATTAACTCAGGCACACTGTCTCAGTGGGTGAACCCTTTGTGGTCCTGGAACTTCCTTGCTTATATTCTCCCTCCTTCTCCTCTTCAACTGGACCTTGAGAGCTTAGTCCAGTGCTCCGATGTGGGTCTCTATCTCCATCTGTCGCTGGACGAAGATTTTATGGTGATATTCAAGATAGTCATCAATCTGGCTACAGGACAAGGCCAGTTCAGGCATCCTCTCCTTCACTGCCCAGGGTCCTAAGTTTCTCCACCCTGTATTGGAGCCCCTATTTATGGAAACAAACCTCCTCTGCCTGTTTTTTCTCTGTGTGTCTCTCTTATATTCCTCCCCCTCCACAAGAAATCTGTTTTGTTCTGCAATAAAATCATCTATTTTCTAGCCCTCTCACAATCATTTTTCTAAAGTTTCTCAAGGAGCACATGATACTAATCACATGACCCGCAATAGCTGATTAAGTTAATACTCTCCTACTGATAAAGTCACCAGACATACGCTTCTTATATCCTGATGACAAAGCCTACTCACTCCCATCTACTCCTATGCAGGAAGTAGTCAATGAGAGTACATTTCTGTAGCATGTAGGGCTGGCTTGTTGAGGTTTGTCCTGCCCAGCAGCCCACAGCCGGCAATTCCCAAAGAAAATAACACAGAGTCTGCATTAGGTTATAAACTGATTGCCCCTTAGCTCTGGCTACTTATTAGCTCTTATAACTTATGTTATCCCATTATCCTTATCTACATTAGCCACACGGCTCAGTACCTTTCTCAGCTGAGCAGGTTACTTCCTGCCTCTTCGGTGGTCTGCACAGGAATCACAGAGGGAGCTTCCTGCTTCCCAGAATATTCCTGTTCTCATTGGCCCGCCTCTGCTTCCTGTCTGGTTGACCTGCCTATACTTCCTGCCTGGCCAATCAGCGTTTTATTAAAATACATGATTGACAGAATACAGACAATTCTCCCACACCACATTTCCTCTCCCTTCTTTTCTGAAGGGAAAAGAAATGTTCTGAAATGGAGGGACAATTACCTGAAAACCTCAGTGGATTGGGAAGCTCTGAACAATAAAGATGACATGACTGGTAACACCTCTGGAAGTTTCTAATAAGTAGATTCCCATTCTAAGCCCACTGGTATCTACCACTTCCAGAATGCTGGGGAACCAACCTGCAGATAGCCTCTTCAATTGAAATCTTCTGCCTTTGCCATTATGGAAAACCCATGATCCCCATGCCACAAGTGCAGTCTTCACTTCCTTGGGAAGACTGACAGCCACCAGTTGTTCTAATTAAAGAACACTTCTGATTCTGGAGATGAAATTCTGTGGTTTTATTTCAACTTTGCTTCCATCATTTCCCATTTAACATTAGAAACACTTAAATACAGAGACAGAAAGACAGAGACTGAAAAACAGAGGGAGACAGAAAGAGGAGAAGCCATTACATTTTAAAAAATCAGGTGGAAGATTGCTTTTAATAGTGATATTTATAATAGTTAATCTTCATTGGCACAATGACTTACTTAAAAATACCCCAAGATACAAATCCAGAAACGATTCCAGAACATATTTCCTGAAGGTATTCTACCCCAAACGTGGGTGATTTTACCTGTGGGTTTGAGGTTAGGACTGAACAAAAGGGGGAAAAGAGGTAGTACACACAATCCACTTATTTACATCTTTCTGTATAGCACCAAGACCTGAGCTGATTCCTAGGACACAAGGGAAAAATCAAGTATAGTGGTACACACAGGTAATTACATTCTGAAGATAAGGAGGCAGATGGATCCCTTAGAGTTGCTGGCCATATATTCTGCCCAAATGTGTAATTTCTAGGTAAAAAAGAAAGGTCTTCTCTCAAAAAACAAGCTGTAAAGTGTCCAAAGGAATGACACTTAGAGTTTAGATGTAGCCTGTACATACACACACAGAAACACACAGACAGACAGACAGACAGACAGACAGAAAGACACATACACACAGTTTCACCCATGAACGTGTATGTAGGTAAATAAGAATGCACAACACAAAAACAAAGGGAGAAATGGTAGAGGCATTCCATAGTTTGCCTGTCACTCCTTCCTGATCTACCTACATTGGAACAAACTCTCGATGTAACAGCAGGAGCTTCCAAGCCAATATATCTTCTCCACAATGATAATCTATGTCCTTTGAATCAGGAACCAAAATAAATGTTGCCTCCATTAAGATGCCCATTGCCTGAGCCCATTTTGATGACAAAAAAATTATCATCTAAACCCGAATTATTATAGGCTTTGATTTGCTCTCAAAGGGAGAAATGAGTGTGGCAATGGACAGGAACTTCTCTCTGAAGTACATCAGGTTAACTGGATTTTCTGAAAAATGATATAAAGGCTATCTCGGTCTCTTTCAAGTGAAGTATGTCAAGAACAAAATAGGGGACTGTGGAGACTAGAGAAACAGAAAAAGGAAGTAAGAATGCAAGTGCTTGAGGGAATAAACATGAAAGCCTGCCAAGCTTGCACACTGAAGAGCTTCCGCAGCAACTGACACAGTGTGACAGACAACATCTGCAGGTTTCTGTAAAAGGATATATCACTGTGAGAGGAAAATTATCACTTTGCTGACAGAAGTAATTTGCAACATCATCTGACTGCATGCCATCAATTTTCAGGGTAAAATCTGTTCCATAGCCATTGCTCATGAACCGGGATGGGACTCCAGAATTAATGGTATTGCCTTCTGAAATAAGGAGCCTAGGAGCTTGCCCTGGCTTCTGCTGGTACCAGTTCATATCATCATCAATGTCTGTACTGGTTCTGCAGGTGATGGTGACTTTTTCTCCAATGGCCATGGACAGGAACGCTGGAGACTGGGTGACAGTTGTTTCTTCCCTAGAATCTGGAAGAAAATTAAGAAAGACAAATCAAATGAGTCAGATTTATATTTAAAAAAGACTCAAATTCTTTAGAAACTATAAAATTTTATTGATATTGTTAACATTTAACAACTGTCATAAGAGAAATTGTTTCCCTTACCAGAGATCCAGAGGAGAAGACTGAGGAGCTGTGCATGGAACATCATGACCATGGTCTTGTGTGCTAGCCAGTTTTCCACTCAGCTTGACAGCATACATTATATGTCATCAGAGATCCTGAGGTGGTAATGGGGTCATGCAAATTATATTGACTATGAAAAGGGTGGGGTGGCAGAATTGAATAGACTGTATAAACCTTCATATAGAGTCTGTCCCTGGTGATTTCTTCTCAGCTGTACTGATGCTCACAAGGCTAGACTATTATCCTTTCTCTACACTAACCTTCTGTACCAGATTGTGTTTCAAGAGGTAGAATACATGGTGATATTGTTGATATTGTCCTTATTGCCTATTCACAACATCCTATCATCTGAGATAAAAGGGAGTTAAGAACATGGTTTGTCTGCATACTAAATATCCTTATCATCAGTTCTATTTTCAGATATTGTTTTCCAAAATCCATACTCTATTGGAAATTCATCACACTGATCTAGAAAGCAACTGTCTAGGAGTGGAAGTCATGATTTTACATTTTACTTTCTTTGAAATAAGTGAGTAAGTTAGTGGGTTGTCGGTGAAACTGATGAGAGTTGCATCTTACACACAGTATTTCCTGCATAGTATAGATGTGTATTTTTATATGCTACACTCAGAATTTAAAAACAGAAATGATAATTGCTTTCACATAAGAGAATACAATACAGATAAGCAATTAGAAGATTATGGTTATTTCTAAAACAAATATAATAAGTTCTAATTTTATTACACCAATTTACTTTCCAAAGTGTATATGAAAATAGAAAAACAAGGAATTTCAAAGGAAACAAAATATACATGTGAACATACACATACATGCATTTATAGATATATATATTCACACATATATGTATTTATATACATGTGAATATGCAACGAAAAGACTAAAATATGCTTTGAAACCAGTGAAAAATAGTTCATACCGGTTCTTCCAGAACAACATAGATGTCCCTCAACTGAAGAATGGATAAAGAAAATGTGGTGCATTTACCCATTAGATTATTACTCAGCTGTTTAATCAATAACATCATGAAATTTGCAGGCAATTAGATGGAGAAATTCATTCATAGTGAGGTAACGCAAACCCACCTAACAATGAGAACGAGTGCTGTCTCTAACTCTTATACTGCCTTTTGAGACCCTACTCCTCAAGTTGGGTCACCATGCTAAGCTTTAATATGTGGGGAGGTGTTTAGTCTTGCTGCAACTTGATATACCATGTTTTGTTGATATCCCTGGGAGATCTGCCCTTTCCTAAACAGAAACAGAGGAGGGGTGGATTCAGGATTGGGAAAAGAGAGGTGTCAGAGAAGGACTAGGAGGAGAGGTGGGTGTACAAATTGTGGCTGGGATTTAAAATAAATAAATTTATTTTTTTAAAAAAGATAAACAAGGTATGTATTCACTCATATGTAGATATTGACTGTTAAATGAAAGAAAACTATGCTAAAAATCCACAGCCCCAGAGACTAGGTAACAAAGGGTTCAAGGGTGGAATGTCCAGATCTCCCTGGGAAAGGGAAATAGAAGAGACTTCTTGAGTGAACTGTGTGGTTGGGTTGGCATGAGAACATGAGCAATCAGGTTTGTGGTGTGGAGAGAAAGAGTACTAAAAAAGACTACTGGAACAGGGTGCATTTCAGGGTCAGATAAAAAAATGGCACAAAAATCTCTCAGATATCTTTAAGGATGGCCCCAGCTAAGACTTATAGCAGATGTGTAGTCTGAACTGGCCAGATTAGGCAAGACTTCAAATGGAGGAAGTGGGACACCAACTATAGTCTGTCCTGCCTGTTTGTTGTGCTGGGGTAATGGTGGCCTGGAGATTGGGGGAGTGGTCAAGGAATGGCTGGTCTAGCATAAAACCCATGCCAGGGGAGTAAACCCATGCCTGTCGCTGTCTGGAGCACCAGCACCCACGGGCAAGATGACCCACAGACCTAGGATAAAATCAAAAACAACTTGGGAAAATGTCAGTGTAATGATCCCTAGTGATAGTCTGCTAAACTCATTGTTTGCTGCCTAGCCCAATTGTCATCAGATAGACTTTGTCCAGCAACTGAAGTGGAAACAAATGAAGACCCACAGCCAAACATTAGGCGGAGCTTGGGGAATCCTGCAGAAGAGAGGAGGAAAGGATTGTATGAGTCAAAAGGGTCTAGGACACCACAAGAAAACACACAGAATCAACTGACTTGGGCTCATAGGGGATCACAGAGATTGAACTGACAACCAAGGAGCCTGTATAGGACTGACATAGGCACATAACATACATATGTAGCTTGTTCCTCTTGTGGGACTCCTAACAGTGGGAGAAAGGACTGTTTCTGATGGTTTTGCTGATGTTTAGGACCCTATTCCTTATACTGGGTAACATTGTCCAGCCTTAATACACGAGGAGGTGCTTAGTCTTACTACAACTTGTTACGCCATGTTTTGTTGATATCCACGGGACACCTGTCCTTTCCTGAACAGAAATGGAGGAAGAGTGAATTGGGGGTGGGAAAAGGACAGGGAGACTGGGAGGAGAGGAGGGAGGGGAAATTATGACTGGGATGTAAAAAAAAAATTCATTCATTCATTCTTCCAGGAGTATCTAAAACTTAGTAACTGTTTAAATATTCTTCTGCTGGTAAACAGATGAACTGGGATTCATCAATAGCATGAGCTTCCACTCTTAGCCAGAGAAGCTAATTATTTATAAACTCACCTTGGAAGACCCTCAAGGCAGTACTATGGAGTAAAATAAGCCACTGCCAAGTTATGTGCGTTGTGTAAAGCACCAGTGAGTTTTATGTAGCACTACAGACAAATGCATTATGGTTCTGACAACACAGACTGTTTATATGACCAGTATGCCTAGAGACACCCCACATATACACACAGCATCCACATAGACAATGCAAATGAGCTCATTAATAAAGTGAAAATTCTTTCAATTTTCTCATTTATTTCATTGTAGAGGATATCAAGCCAAGAGAAAGCTGTGTGTGTGCTTAGGTCCTACATGTTTTTGACACTTTGCCATGAGAGTATAATTATTTGAAAATATAGAAAAATTTAAAAGGCTTGATCACTTGAAATCCTCACAGAAATGAGTTGCTGAGTTGCAGTGAGAGGGAGAGAGGAGGGGTTATGCCTCCCTCTACTGGTGCAATGCAGGTAGTACATTCTAGCACACTTTGTAAAAATAAGGAGTGGACTGATTGTAAAGAGTTTGTGGCTATTAGAAGAACCACAGTGAAAACATGCATAACTAATAACAAAATTCAAGTGACCTGCAGAAATAAAATTATCAAGACATTATGTATATGGCATAATATTGGAAAGATATTTTAGATTTCAACTCACTTGTTTCTCATTTCTTTTATTAACTCTTATAATAATATCAGAAACACAGCCTTTCCTCCATCCACTCCTCCTGCCACCCCCACCTACCCACTCCCCTAGATCCACTGCTCCTCCATTTCCCTTTAGAAAACAGCAGGCCTCCCAAAGGATATCAAGTGAACACAGAAAAAAATGCAATAAGATTAGACACAAACCCTCATGTTAAGGCTGGATGAGTAGAAAGGAAAAGGTCACAAGAGCATGCAAAAATAAACAGAAACATCCCCACTTTCACTGTTAATAATCTCATTTTAAAAATCTGTGTTTACTACAGCATAAATTCCTTTTTTATTGTATGTGAGTTTCTATTTTAATTACTTTTTTATTTTCTGAGATTATAATTATATTATTTCTCCCTTCCATTTCCTCCCTCCAACCCTGCCTTATAACTCCCCTTACTGTCTTTCAAATACATTGTCCATTTTTTTATTAATTCTTCTTACAACCTGCTCAGTCTATATAATGTTACATGTATGTATGCTTTCAGGAATGACTATTTGATATTGGGTAACCAATTGGTATGTATGCTCCTGTCTGGGGAATTCTTTGTCTACAACTCTCAGAATTCCTTAGGTACCCTGTAGTTTTTATAAGGTGAGGCATTGTGGTCTTTCTCCTGTCTATTGGTATGTTTATTGCTGTTATCCTGGTTCAAATCACATTACACAATCATTTTGGTGATGTTTATGAACATAGTTTCTGACATTACTAGGAGACACAGTCACATAGCAGACCTCTTGATTCTCTATTTTTTTCTGCCTCCTTTTCCTCAGTGTCCCGAGGCTCAGGTTGGAAAGTTGTTTTGTAGACATATCCAATGGGACTCTGTAACTGTGCATTTTGATAGGTTGTGCACTTATTTAATCATCTTAATCTGTCATAAAAAGATTTTAATCAAATCTCCTTGACTAGGACTACAATGATCTGGGAATAGATGGAAAAATGTTTGGAGTGTAGTTAGGGATTAGTAGAGTGGTGGTTATACGTTTTTCAACCAAGATCCATGACCTCACCAGCCCCTGGTAGCTGGCTAAGTCTTAAATGCCAGACACAGTTTTCTACTTGTTAAACAAGTCCTAATTTCAAGTAGAGAGCTGTTGGTTACCATCAATGTATGTGTGCCACTATTGTACCCTTACTGTATTATTTTGGCAGTCTGTTGAACAACAACTCTAAAGAAAGTTTCACATGCCTGATGTTGGATTTTGTGTTATATGGTCTTGATCTCTAGGAGACCTCATTGTCAGGCCAAGTGAGGAAAGATCATTAAAACTATATATGTATATTTATACACAGACATATATATTAAAGGGTTTGTTTGTTGTATGCTTTGTTTTGATGATAGAGAGTTAATAGTATAAATCCTTGTTGATTTCTCAGGCAAGTTTACTGTGTGTTTTCTCTTCTCTTACCTTCTGTACATGTTCCCTTCTTCCCTTCTTTCCCTCTCCTAGTAAGAGCTCTTCCTCCTTATTTCACAGAGTACTTGCACCCTGTTATTTCCCTCTCTATTGCTGCCCACAACAACCCTAACATTGAACCTATTTTGTGTTTTTTGTTTCTGCAGAAGTATAGGATATTTATTTATCTCTGCATATTTGGAGCTAGGAGCCTGTGGTGAGAAAGAATACCATGGTGACATGTCTTTCTGGGTCTAGGTTACCATACTCTGTATACTCTAGTTCCATTTATGTCAGAGTTCAGGGT